CAGGCACTGGACTTGGGCTGTGCTGTATTCTCTGCGCCTGCTGCTGCCCTCCAAACTGCTGCTGCTGCACTGGCTGCTGCTGCTGCTGGAGAGGCATGGGTTGAGTGCGGTTCATAAGCCCACCAGGCTGCTGCGTCATGCTGCTAGGCCCCTGCTGCTGCTGCACCTGCTGTGGTTGCATCCCCCCCCCCATCTGCTGCTGCTGCTGTGCCTGAGCTGGCTGCTGTTGCTGCAGCGGCTGCTGTTGCTGCTGCAGTGTTACTGGCTGCTGTTGTTGCTGCTGCTGCCGCAACTGCTGCTGCTGCATCATAAGCATTCGCTGCTGCTGCTGCTGCTGCTGTTGCATCTGCCCCCCTGGCTGCTGCATCTGCCCTGGCTGCTGCATCTGCCCCGGCTGCTGCTGCTGCTGCTGCTGCTGCTGCTGCGGCTGCTGCGGCTGCTGCTGCTGCTGCTGCCCCCCAACCACTTGCATTGGCCCACCCCCCTGCACTTGACCACTACCCCCCATAGACAGATTACTCTGAGGCAGCTGCCTTACCCCCCCCGGTCCCCCCATGCCGGTGCCTGCCTGCACGGGTGCACCCATCCCGCCTGGGCCTGTAAGGGAGCTGCTAGGAGCCATGGCGCCGGGCTGCTGCTGCTGCTGCCCCATCATCGGCCCTCCTGGTCGCATTGCCTGTTGCGGCTGACCCAGTTGACCTGGTTGACTGGGTTGACCCGGTTGACCTGGCTGTTGCTGCTGCGGGGGATAGCTCATGTTGGCTGGAGATAGAGACGGAGGGAGGTACGGGGTGAGTGATGTGAATGTTATGCATGTGATGTGGTGGCTGCTTTTGCGTCGATTCAAAAATAGGAACGGGTGAGTGAATCTTATGCATGTGTTGTGGTGGCTGTGTTGTGTTGTGATGTAATCTACTCTTCTAGATAGGTAGGTAGGAGGACTGGAAATGAGGAATTGCGATTCGTAGAATTCTGAGGCGCCTCAAGAATTCGTTCTCCCAATACATCCACCCAATTTCAAAATATCCATCACATTCATTCACCCTGTTGTGGACGAGGATGATATGAGTGGATGTGATGAAGAGGGAGCTCCGACACTCCGTTACGTGCTACTTGTTCTTCCTCGGCCCGTCACTCATCTCCTGGCAGTCCAAACGCCAAGCTGTCGTGAAGCTGAATATTATTCTTTAGGCGCCGAGGTGTATGAGGCATTATGGCTTCGTTCCCTCCTTACTGCACTTGGACTTCCCCCAACCGGCCCCACCCGCATCTCGTGTGACAACATTAGTGCCATCATTCTCGCCAAGGACGATGACATCTTTCATCCCAAGGCCAAGCACATCAACATCAAGCACCATTTCATTCGTGATCATGTTGCCGACCACTCCGTCACCCTTCACTATGTTCCTACTCAAGACAACCTCGCTGATATTGGCACCAAGCCTTTGCCACACGACCCTTTTCTTCACATCCGTGCTCTTCTCGGTCTCACCCATGTCTCCACTTGAAGAACCCTCCCCCGGGGACATCCTTGAGGGGGGGTGATGTGCAGCTAGTATGTCCCAGTGGGTAGAAGTCTCACCTTTGGTCTTAGAGCTCGTGAGTTCAACTCTCAGCAGCTGCACTTTCTCTTCTAGTCAACATAACATTCCCACACTCCACCACGGTGAAGTGTGGTTACAGTTGGCATTGCCACCTGTCCACTCATCCCATACTCACTTTGCTGGCCCTTATGGTGTGTCATATGTTGTCATGAGGGCTGTTGTTCCAGCTTGGCCCACATGTGCAACATGTGACCTCTCTTGCTAGCTTGGCAAGGTTAGCTAGCCTTGCACTCAGCTCTGAGGTGTTGCAGCTAGCCTCAAGAGTTCAGCACACATATATGTGGCTTTCTACTTCAGTAGGAATCTAAGACCTTGCTCTAGTCTCTAAATCTTGTTTCATCTTCCTGCTGAAGATATTTTTTTCTTCCTATTGTGCCTCGAGTTCACCGATCCAATTTCTACACACCCCTTACATGCATCACATGCACCCCTTACATGCATCACATTCGCCCCTTACATGCATCACATTCACCTCTTACATGCATCACACTCTCACTCTAACATCCACCACACACACTCGACATGACCACACTCCTTCCATGCATCAGCAGTCATTCCGCCAGTGGCAACACACCCTGCAGGCGCCTGGGAGCTCGTGCTTGCACAAACACACTCGAGCAATTCACTCCTTTCGTCCACCACCCCGCCACACAAGCACTCTTACATGCATCAATCCACTCCTTTCGTCCACCACCCCGCCACACAAGCACTCTTACATGCATCAATCCACTCCTTTCGCCCACCACCCCGCCACACAAGCACTCTTACATGCATCAATCCACTCCTTTTGTCCACCACCCCGCCACACAAGCATTCTTACATGCATCAATCCACTCCTTTCGCCCACCACCCCGCCACACAAGCACTCTTACATGCATCAATCCACTCCTTTCGTCCACCATCCCCCCACACAAATACTCTTACAACCTTTTGTCCACCACCCCCCCACACAAAACACACTTACATGCATCAGCGGTCATCCCGCCAGTGGCAACAGACCCTGCAGACGCCTGCGAGCTCGTGCCTGCACCCGCCTGAGCCTGCAGCATGTGGCCCTTGCTCTTGATGTACAGCATCTTCTGGGATATGCGCCACAGGTAGTCGTCCTGAGGTTGGTTTAAGGGGCACAGAACATTAGCGGCGAGAGGGTGAGCGGTACTGTGGCCTCGGAGGGAAAAGGCTGTTGCGCCTTGCAGCCTGCAGCATGTAGCCCTTGCTCTTGATGTAGAGCATCTTCTGGGATATGCGCCACAAGTAGTCGTCCTGAGGTGGTTCGTGGGAGGGGCACATTAGGGGAGAGAGGGTGAGTGGTACTGACTGAGGCCTCGGAGAGAGAAAGCTGATCCGCCTTGCAGCCTGCAGCCTGCGTCATGTGCCCCTTGCTCTTGGTGTAGAGCATCTTCTGGGAGATGCGCCACAGGTAGTCGTCCTGAGATAGAGGAAGGGTATAGATTGAGGGAGAATGGGTGGTGCTCGCTCAAGCCTGCAGCATGTGCCCCTTGCTCTTGGTGTAGAGCATCTTCTGGGAGATGCGCCACAGGTAGTCGTCCTGAGATAGAGGAAGGGTATAGATTGAGGGAGAATGGGTGGTGCTCGCTCAAGCCTGCAGCATGTGCCCCTTGCTCTTGGTGTAGAGCATCTTCTGGGATATGCGCCACAGGTAGTCGTCCTGAGATTAGAGGTGGGGAGGAGTGGACATCAAGGGAATGAGTGGTGCTGAGCCTTCGAGAGAGGGAGGAAGGGAGCTGGTCCGCCCGGCAACCTGCCTCATGCAAGCACCTGATTGGTGGCCGCTGCTTGCTCGCACCTGATTGGTGGCCGAAGCTCGCTCGCACCTGATCGGTGGATGGACGCTGCTCGCTCGCACCTGATCGGTGGCCGCTGCTCGCTCGAACTTGATTGGTGGCCGCTTCTCACTCACACCTGATAGGTGGCCGCTGCTCGCTCGCACCTGATTGGTGGCCGTTGAGAAGATCTTTTGCTCAAACGATGCCGCAACGCGGTGCAGCTCGTTCATGTCCGGAGCTGATGTGAACTTCTGTAGACTCTCCATTCTGCACAGTGTGGTGGCAGGGAGAAGGAGAGGGAGAGGGAGATGGAGAGGGAGAGGGAGAACAAAACATTGTCGGGGGAGCTGATGTGAACTTTCTGCAGACTCTCCATCTGCACGTGTGGAGGAGGGGATGGGCGACGGAGAGGGAGGGGAGAGAGACATGGAAGAACACAGAGTTGACAGACGCAATACGCTCTTGTGGCCACTCTGGCCACTCTTGTAACCGTGGACAGAGTTCATAGACGCAATATGTAGTCACTCTGCATGGAGTGGAAAGAGCTTCTTGCTTCTCTGTCCACGGCTGCCATAGGTTTCCAAAAAGCTCTCTCTTTCCACTCTGCACACAAACGGGAATGCATAATCTGAGTGGAACGGCAGCAAAAGCGGATGACACCACACCACCATTGTGGGTTGTTGCAGATCTGCTGACGCCATAATCGAATAGACTTTTGAGTCGACTCAAAAGTCAGCTCGTTTTGAGTCGACTCAAAAGCGGATGACACCACACCACCATAGTGGGTTGTTGCAGATCTGCCGACGTCATAATCGAATAACAGGACATCTGATGACGTCATAGCGGATAGCAGCAAATCTGATGACGGCGGAGTCAGATGACAGAAGAATCTGATGACGTCATGGCGGATAGCAGGAAATCTGATGACGTCATGGCGGATAGCAGGAAACCTGATGACAGCAGAGCCTGATGACGTCATAGTGGACTCTGCGCGGCTATTCTACCCGCGAGTTGGGTCTCCGAATGGCTCTCTCCGCCCTGCACCCGCTTGGCAATCCATCCTTGCTATAGCACCGAACCTACAGTCCAATAACAAGGAACCTGATGACGTCATAGTGGACTCAGTGGCTATTCCGTCTACGAGCTAGGTCTCCAAAAGGCTAAACCTAGTCTGCGAAGCGACACAACGGAGAATGACGGACCTGAAGGCACTAAAGCACTTCAACGAATTCGAACGATTTTCAAGTTGTCTTAAAAAACCGCTCACTAATTGTGACAGCGAATCACGGAGCTGAAGGTTCGTGAGCTCGAGAAGCGAAGAGTCGATCAAACGCGCTTGTATCACTTTTAAAACTTCCCAAAACGTGATGAAACCACACCCTACAAGCGAAGAGCCAACTGAAAAATATTTGTAACCTAAATTCGCCTGTTCGTGGACCCTTCGCTCTCCCAATGGTTCCCATTCTGCACTGCACAGGAGAACGGCATGCTACAACGCACATCTCCAAGTTGCTGTCGTTATGAGTACTAGATGATTCGTACACTCGCTTCAAAAAAGTCGGCGTGCCAGTAAGCAAACGCACATTCGCTTCACCAGAATCTGCCGCTTCTCCCGCGGGAGCCGCGTTCGCCAGTCGGGCTCCGCCGGCGCTGCTTGCTGGCGCATGCCGCCGCCGCCACCTCCGCCGGCGCCGCTCCAGTCGCTTTCCATGCTGGCTCGGCTCGCCGCTAAACGACGCGCCTTTAGGATCGGCTCAAAATCGACGTACTAACGACTCAGTTCAAAATCCACCGCTAACGACGTGCAACAATAGACAGCCGCGCGTGAGCCACTTCAAAGCAACCGGGACGGAAGCAACCCAACTGAAAGCTGCGCGCAGAAACGCCGACGAGAAACTCCGAAGCCTACGCAGACGGATAAGGGCGTGTCTCATGAGTTCATTTGGGGAAAAATCGTAATTGCTACGCAGCTTTGACAAAGCAGCGAAGTGAGCACTCAGACGAAAAAAAAACGCAGCGCGTCAGCACTGCGCCAACCGAAGTTGCACCTTGCGGACTCATCACCCCGCCCACACAAAATTCGTATCGCGAATCACATTCGACATGCTTCGCGAACGGTAACTCGGTCCAGTTGCGAATAGACTCTACCAAAATTGGCCGTTCGTTATTTCTGGGCGAATTCTGAGAGTAGGGTTACGCAGACCTCTTCGAGGTGTTGGTACGTACCTTGGAAGCTGTTTTTGAACGCTATTCATACGAACCTTTTGACGCATTCAGCGCGTTAATGTCGTGCGTCATTGAAGACACATGTCTACAGTAGTCCAATATGAAGGGTTACAAAGGCAAACACAGGGTTACAACGGTCAGCATGAACAGTAAACGAACTCATGAGACACGCCCTAACTGTGCTTGCAATGACCTCGATATTACAGCGGGTCAAGCTTTGCGGGTTCACAATTTGTACGCACTATCCAGGCTGGTGAGTGGAGTGGTCCAAAGCGGTGAAACGAACAAAGCGTATCATAGAGGATGTTTGGTTCAACTCGACCTAGCTTGACATGTGATGTGAAGCAAACTCCCCCACACGCATCCCTGGGATATCCGAACCGAGGCACCATCGCACGCCTTGCGTCTCGCACACCGAATCGACGGACCAGCCGGACCAGTTTCTGGGCCAGCCTCGGACAAGAGTTGAGACCAGCCTGGAGGAGCTCGGACCAGGTCACCAGTGTAAGGAATTTTCTCGGATTCCTTAGGGCGCTTCACCTCTCAGTTCGAACAGGACGGTTGTTCGAACAGGCGAAATGTTACATTTTTCGCCACTCCTCGTATGGGTGTTCGTGACGTCGCTAGTCGGAAATTTCGCGAATTTGAACAGAGTTGTCACACGGGGCACGAAGCTCTCCATTCCGCACGTTCGAACAGAGTTGTTCGAACAAAGTTGGGTTTGGTGACAGGAATTCCGCATGGACGACTGATTTTATTGGTTAGCAGGCTTCGGGTCGCACTCGAATGTTTGCGACCATTGCAAATGTCGCCATGCAGGAGAAAGTTCATCAAAAAGGACATTGTTGTTGGGAAACAACAAGGTGAGCAGTAGTAGAAGAGCACGAAGAGACTGTTTGACTGGATGGGCGAAAAATGAGTCAAACTTGAATGGCAGACGACAGAATTATTTTTTTGCGACGTTTCGCGAAGTTGTCCAGCACTTGGCGACGTCGCATGTTCGAACAGGCTGTCACCTCTAGTCACGAGCTGTCACATTCACCAAGGTGTTCAAATTTGTGTTCGGATCTCGTCGGGAAACTGTTCTTACAGTGAATTCGTTATGTATGTTCGGATTTGGGCCTTCCAGCCCCAAGGTGATGCGCCCTTACTTGGTCACACTATATGCTTACAACCCCGATTTTCGGAAAACCAGGCTCGGTCCACCGACCTCGCCTTCCGAACCACTCGCGCGTCGCCTTCGGGTTTTCCAACCCCGATCCTGCACCCAACCATGTCGCGACCCCGCGACCTCGGCCTAGCTAACATTGCTATATTAGTTCTAGGCCTCGTTGTTCCCTCAGACGTTGTAATCACTTCCGCGTTATTGAATAATGCGTACTCTTCTCTTTCACAACTCATAACACTTGGTATCATATCTACTTTCCTAGATTACTCTCGCGTTTCCGGGGTAGTTTGTAGAAGGGGAGCGATAGACTTGGTGGGCTGTAAAACGGTCGGCCTGTGAAATAGATATGATTATTTCACACCGACTACGATAGCGTTTACGCCTTCACCGAAGTCAGAAAAATCGCTCGCCGCCCCCTGCCCATTCGACGAAGCCTGAGGCACATGGATCAGGCCGAGTTCAACGAGTTCATGCACCAGTTCCGGGCGATGCAGGCCAACTTGCAGACCATGTCTGCGGAGATGGAGCGTCTACGGAAGGAAAACGCGGAACTACACCAGGCGCGTAGTGAAGCGCGCCAGGAGTCGCCTGTCGTTGAGGACGCAAGTAGCAGCTCCACGCCAGATGAGCGGGTCTGGAGCGAATTAGAAGGCTCCATGGATGCTGATGATGCGAGGCGGGCACAACAGCAGCAGTCACCGCAACAGTCGCATGCAGCACCGACACGTGCAGCAGCGACAACTTCGGCGACGATAGCAGCAGCAGCGGCTTCAACAACTGTTAAAATCAAGCCGACAAACCCGCCCCCGTTTAACCCATGTGACAAGTTCGTCACTGTTTCTGAATAGTTGTTCGGAGTGGAGGTGTTTTTTAATGCTGCTATGATTAATGACGATGCCACTCGCATTAACTTCGCAGTTTCACTATTGAGAGGACCCGCGCTGGAGTGGTGGCGACGAACGTTGCAAGACGAAGGGACTTCGGCAGGAATAGCACGTGCGAACGATGGGACTTCGACACATGTCACGCAACGAGCAGCTTCAATTTTCGGGACAGCTACGATACGCACATGGAGGGAGTGGGGCGCCGCCCTGCGAACCAGATTTGAGCATATATCCGTCTCGAACTCTGCTCGCATGAAGCTGCGTGCCTGGAAGCAGCTGACTTCGGTCCAATAATACACCAGCACATTCTACAACTTGGCGGATCAAGTGGACGACATGAGCTACGCGGAGCGGTTGGATCGCTAGCAGGCTTGAAATACGAGATACAGTACGAGGTCCGACGAACGCGGCCACGCAGCTTTACCGACACTGTCCGAGAAGCCGAGTCAACGGATGCACTGATACAGTGGGCGAGATCGAGCTCCCAGGAGGGCCCTCGATTTCGCAGACCGACTGAGCGGCCCACGATCAACGGCGTGGATGCGCCAAGCGGAGCCCTTGGGCCGTGCTTCATATGCAACCAGCTGGGCCACCTAAAAAAAGACTGCCCGAGGCTTAAAGCCCGAGTACAGCATGGTGATTTTCAAGTTCAAGATTCTTGAATTTGAAGTCGCCAAAAATAGGGTTACCCTACTTGTTTTGAGAAAATTCTCGCGACCCCAGGCAATCGTTGTTAACAGGAATGGAGTGTTGGCCCCGCCCTCGCTTGGGCAACGCCGACGACTTGGTCGGATGTACGGGAGTAGCAGCCGACCGTTCACAGTGGGAGAGCTGCTCGACAAGCTTCGTCGAGCTGCAGGGGACCACTGTAGTGTTGCTGTCGACCAGGGAGCTCGACAGCTGCAACTGACTGGTCTGGGCGACAGGTGGGACGTCGACCAGGACTTGCAGCTCGACCGGGAGGTCTCCGGAGCATCCCGTCGACCTGCCTTTCAACCGGGAGGTCTCCGGAGCATTCCGTCGACCTGGCGTTTGACCGGGAGGTTTCGGAGCATTCCGTCGACCTGCCGCTTGACCGGGAGGTCTCCGGAGCATTCCGTCGACCTGCAGTTCGATCGGGAGGTCGACGGAGCAGTCCGTCGACCTGACAAGTGAGCAGCGGTCGACGAGGGGAGCTCGGCGACAACCGCTGATGGTTCAAGTCGACGGAAGGGGTCCGTCGACCAGGGGGTAGCTCGACGGGAGTTGTGGTCGACCAGAGGCACCTGGTGGTCGACCAGAGGGACCTGGTGGTCGACCAGAAGCAGTGGTGGTCGACCGGAAGCACCTGGTGGTCGACAGGAAGCACCTGGTGGTCGACGAGTTCTGCAGAGGCACGCGAACGTCGTCGAGGTTGCGATGGCGCAGGCGACTGCGGGCTAGTATCCCGAAGTCGATGTGGCTCGTCATGCGCAGACAACAGCTGACGGATGCCCAACGAGGCAAGTCGGGCCAATTGTCTGCGCGCATCTGCGAGCGTGCGCACTGCTGTGTTCTACGGGGCAACGCTGGACAGCCGCTCCGCTGCAGCATTGGCACGCCGTCGACCTGCTCTGTTGGCAGGTCACCTTTCCGCAGTGCTGGCGCGGCCCCTCTACGCAACGCTGGCAGGCGGTCGATCGAGCTGTGCTGGCGGTCGACCAGTCTAGCTGCAGGGTTGCTAGGTGCCTGATGTAGTAATTCTGTCATTGCTTGTTCAATCATTCTGGAATTCCAACTTTGCTAGTGGAAATTCTTGCCGATTTCTCCCGTGAATGTGCAAGCACTAAGGAACCAAGCAAAGCTACGATCACTCCTAGCAGTTCGTGCCAACCCCCGTAGTCTAGCTCACTACCGTTGTAGAGTGATTCTCCGCAATCGTCCTGCGACAACGGAAACCGAGTGCCCAAAACCAGAACTGACGCGATGATCGCCAACCATTTGTACTGTTCACCACTCACATAACTTGCTTACCAAGTAGTACTCATAGGCTAGTAGGCTCCAGGGCAAAAACGAGCGCTAGTTGGCAAAAGCGAGTCGTTGATAGGCTTTTTTTTTCTGTGCGGAAGGAAATGTAAGTCCACCTCAACCATCTTAGTCAGTGCACGCTCCGATCTCTCCCTCACGTTACCGGTCTCGTGTTACAACCCGTATACCCACGGCACTTACGTTAGTAAACGAGATTCGCTTTACTCGAGTCTTGCATTCAAGCTCGCGTCGCACACGCAGGATCTTGTCACACTTGCTGCCATTCAGCCTCGTGTCACGATCGTACCGTTTTAGGCACGGGTCGCTCACGCGAATGCCGTACTGGTTCGCGTAACGCACTCAGCCGTTAATCGCACATGTTCCTCCTCGTCGGCCGCTCTTGCCCACGTCAGACCGCTTTCCTCGTCGCCCGCGCTTTCCCTCATTACCCTCCCCGACCCTCTGGTCGCATATGTTCCCCTAGTTGCCCGCGCTCTACCACGTTAACCACACAACCCCTCGTCGCAATTGCTAGTAGTAAACATACCGCGCTTCAGATCGTCACCCGCGCTCCCCTCATCACCCTCGTCAACCCACACCGATCCTCGCCGCCCTCACCTCCCTTGGTCACCGACATTCCCTCTCGTTGCTCGCGCTTCCCCTCATCACCCGTGCCGACCCTCGATGCCCTCGCCTCCCCTCGTCGCCCGCGCGTCCCGTCGTCGGGCTTGCCTCCCAGTCACTCGCGCTTCCCCTCGTCATCCGCATTTCCATCCGCTCTTCCCCTCTCCCCATCTCACCATCTCCAGCCCATCCTTCCTCATTCCTTCCGAAGGGGTGGGGCAGATGAGGAGGAACAGAGGTGATCGCTTCCGCCACCACAGTCGAATATCGTTTTGATTCCCTCTCTGCTCCCCACCATCCTCCCCTCAACTCTCTCCCCGGCATCTGCCCTCGTTCCCCCCATCCTCTTCCTTGTTTCCCCGTATCCCCTGCCGTGCTTCCCCCCATCCTATCCCCTCTTACCCCGTATCCCCTGCCCTGCTTCCCCCCATCCCCTTCCCTGCTTCCCCCCATCCCCTTCCCTGCTTCCCCCCATCCCCTTCCCTGCTTCCCCCCATCCCCTTCCCTGCTTCCCCTCATCCCCTTCCCTGCTTCCCCTCATCCCCTCCCCTGCTTTCCCCCATCCCCTTCCTTGCTTCCCCCCATCCCCTTCCCTGCTTCCCCCCATCCCCTTCCCTGCTTCACCCCATCCCCTCCCCTGCTTCCCCCCATCCCGTCTCGTGCTTCCCCCCATCCCCTTCCCTGCTTCCCCCCATCCACTTCCCTGCTTCCCCCCATCCCCTTCCCTGCTTCCTCCCATCCCCTTCCCTGCTTCACCCCATCCCCTCCCCTGCTTCCTCCCATCCCCTTCCCTGCTTCCCCCCATCCCCTCCTCTGCTTCCCCCCATCCCCCTCCCTGTTTCCCCCCATCCCCTTCCCTGCTTCCTCCCATCCCATTCCCTGCTTCCCCACAACCCCTCCCCTGCTTCCCCCCATCCCCTTCCCTGCTTCACCCCATCCCTTCCCCTGCTTCCTCCCATCCCCTTCCCTGCTTCCCCCCATCCCCTTCCTTGCTTCCCCCAATCCCCTTCCCCACTTCCCCCCATCCCCTTCCCTGCTTCCCCCCCTGCTGCCTCCCATCACTCTCATTCTCCTTCCTCCCGCACTCACACCTCTCAGTCCTCTCGCACTCTCTCTCTCTCCGTCCTCTCGCACTCACACTCTCCTCCCCACCACCCTCAGCCCTCCTTCCCCTCACCCTCTCCCCTGTTCCCACCTGCCCTCCCCATCCCTGCCTTTCCCTCCCTGCCCTGCCCTTCCCTTCTCCATCCCTTCTCAACCCTTCCCTTTCATGTCATGCCCTCCCCTTCCCCCTCACCTTCCGCCCTCCAGTTACCATGCATGTGCACCCATCACTGTCTCCCCATACCGGTACATGCTTTGATCATGTGCGCTTGCTTGTGTTCCCCTGCAGTTGTTCCCTTGGCACCTCACACCACTTCCCCCATCTTCCATCACACAATTCTTTCTGCCTACTCCACTCCCCAAATTTTCAGTGGTGAAGCAGAGGAGCAAGCTGAGGCGCAGCTAGAGCTAGTCCATGCTTTACGCCGTACCACCACCTGTTTCTTGTGTGCTGTATGCAAGCATGATACTGTATTACTGTTGGAGATATCCATCTCAAAAGCGCATTATGTTTCTGCAGTGCAATATATTCTTCCAAGATGCATGGGCACTAGGAGTGTCAGAAGGGTAGATAGAGGCATGATTCTACTTTTGATTGTACCCTTCTCAAGGACTTGAAAAAATCATGAGGGATGGGATGATGGGCTTCGGCAAGTTGCAGTGCCAGAAAATCTTCATTGTTGTCACTGCACTACCCAGGTAGAGGGAGGGAATACGAGGGATGGGGAGGGGGAACAAGACTAAAGTCAAATAGGGGAGATAGGGAAGAGGGGGGAGAGGAAAGCAGGGCTGAGAGGGAAAGACGTAAGTACCGTAAAAAGAGGGAGGATAGGGAAGAGGGGAGATAGGAAGAGGGGGAGAGGGAAAGTGTGAGATAGGAAGATGAAACGAGGTGAAGAAGAGGGGGAAACTAGGGGAAGCAGGGAGGGAAACGAGGGAAAGCAAGGGGGGAAACGAGGGGAAGCAGGGGGGGAAACAAGGGAAAGCAAGGGAGGGAAATGAGGGGGCAGCAGTGGGGAAAATGAGGGGAAGCGGGGGGGGTCGAGGGAGGGAAATGAGGGGAAGCTGGGGGGAAAATAAGGGAAGCAGGAGGGTACAAGCAGGGATAGCAGGGAGGGAAATGAGGTGAAGCAGGGAGGGAAATGAGGTGAAGCAGGGAGGGAAATGAGGTGAAGTAGGGAGGGAAATGAGGTGAAGCAAGGATGAGGGGGAGAAAGGGTGAGCCATGGGCGTAGAGGGTCGTGAGAGAGGGGGGGGGTGGACAGTGGCAGGCTGGAGGGGAGCAGGAGAGGAGGAGGGGAGTGGCATGGGGAGCAGAGCAGAGCAGCATTGCGACCTGCCAGCAGCGTCATCCCCCACAGCGGAGATGAGGAAGGGCGCGGCGGAGAGTGCTGCCATGCACTCCGCTATGCTGTGCATGGCGGTGTGCACCCCCCCTGCGAGGAGGAACAGGGGAACGGAGCGGCGGGCAGAGAGAAAGGAAGGAGGAGAGGGAGAGGGAGAGAGGTTGAGACATGCCGCAGTGGACGACACTCCACCCTCGAATTTCTTTCTCCTGCCCTCCTCCCAAACTCATGCGGGAGGAAGAAAACGGGTGGGGGAAAGGGAGGAAGGGGACAACCATGAGGGGTAGGGACTGGAAAGGGGCGGGGGCGGGTGGAGGTTTGGCGAGATGGGGAATAGGAACCAGAGCATGGGGCACAGAGCATGGGGCACAGAGCATGGGGCACATAGCATGGGGCACAGAGCATGGGGTACAGAGCATGGGGCACAGAGCATGGGGCACAGAGCATGGGGCGCATGGGGCACAGAGCATGGGGCACAGAGCATGGGGCACAGAGCATGGGGCACAGAGCATGGGGCACAGAGCATGGGGCACAGAGCATGGGGCACAGAGTATGGGGCACAGAGCATGGGGCACAGAGCATGGGGCGCAAAGCATAGGGCACAGAGCATGGGGCACAGAGCATGGGGCACAGAGCATGGGGCGCAGAGCATAGGGCGCAGAGCATGGGGCGCAGAGAATAGGGCGCAGAGCGCAGGGCTCGTAGAGCAGAGCGCAGGGGGCAGAACACAGGGGGCGGAGGGGGCAGGGCGCAGGGGGTGGAGGGGGCAGAGCGCAGGGGGCGGAGGGGGCAGAGCGCAGCGGGCGGAGGGGGCAGAGCGCAGAGTGCAGGGGCGCGGAGCACGTGTACTTGTCCTGGCGTGGTGGTGCCTCGTTCTAGCGCCCTCTCCACGCTGCTATTCGACCAGAATAGTGCACGCGCTGGACGTTTGCGAGTTGACGCGCTGCTAAACGACCAGTGGCGCGAGCTGCGCGTAAACCGGTGAGGGGGATGGTCGTCTCTGTATTTCGCGCGCTGCTACCCGCCCGTGGCCGCCCGGTGGCTGACAGAGTAGAATTGCGTAACCCTAAGGGTATGCGTATTGTGGACGCCCCCAGCATGGCATTGCCCTAAGTAATAGGCACTTTCGAGCCCAATATACGTTTGCAATGCCCCGAAATCGTCGACCTACGTGCTGCCTGAGGCAATCGATGTGCCAGAGGCAATCGATGTGCCAGAGGCCATATCGCGCTCTTCTCAACGCTCCTTCCTGCAACTCAGCATGTACGTTTTCTGGCATGTCACATTCGTTTGCACGTTTCCTTGTTAGCTCCTGTGGTTATTTCACACGAAGTAGTTAGCTTGATTGATCGTGGTGTTCTTTCTACTCACTCGTGTTGGTGCTTCCCGTTTTCGTTTTTGCTAGTAGTCGCATTGTGCGTGGACCTTCTCCACTACTTGAACCTGATTGGCTGAAGAACAATCCTTGCGACACTCCTTCCAGTCGCTCCACAGTGCTTGCAAATCCGTCAAAGCTGCACAGTATCGTTCACCATCGCTTCACGTTTGGCGAGACCCCTTTCCCCCTCGTCAATCGATATTTTTCTCGCTACACTGACTTTGCCGAAATTCTTGTTTTCAAGGTTTCGCCAACACTATTTCAAACCCACATAACTTGATAAATTACCATGCTGACCCCAGGCTTTAAGCAGGGGAAGAAGAACTGCAGAGAAGGGTCGGGAAAAGAAACGAGTCAGTAGCAGATGGGTGCCCTACTTACGAGACCCTGTCGCCCGACAATCACCATCCACACCGGGTCGTGGTACCGATCAGAGCTATCAACCGCAACCGGACGAATAACGTGGGTGAACACGTGGACTACCCTATGCTGGTGGTGGGGAGGGTTAACGGTTATAAAATAAAAATATTCATCGACGGTGGGGTGAGTCACAGCCTCGTCAACCAGGCAACAGCAAAAAAAGAAAGGGGTGGAGCTGAACAGATGTCTACCGGAGATTGATGCAAGGCTGGTGGATGGGACGCCACTGGCCATCCGAGATGAAGTGCAAAAAAATCGGATCAAGTGTGGCGACAATTTCGGGTTCGGCATGAAGATGCTGGCGACGACTTCGGTCGGCTGGGATGTGCTGCTGGGGCGAGATTGGTTGCAAAAATTTAATCCGACGATCGACTGGACGACGGCAGCGTGTGCTATGCGAGGAAAGGGAGGGCTCATGATGCTTCCGAAGTGGACGGACACGGAGCCGGTGATGACACGTGTCAACGCCATCAACATGGCGCGAGCGACTAACAGTGGAGCTTAAGCATATGCGGTGCACCTGTACGAGATTGCGGCTTCCGAAAAAATCGCGGACATCGACACGCTCTGCGCGGCAGTCCATGAGGAGTTGGCGAGCATTATTCGGAAGTACCCCGCAATTTTTGCGAACGACCTCCCGGATGGCCTACCCCCTCAGCGTCCAGAAGACCATCGGATCCAGCTGGAACCCAGCGCGCAACCTACTGTGCAGACGCAGTGGCGGCTCAGCCAACCAGAGCTTGACGAGCTGCGAAGCCAGCTGGACTACCTGCTAGCCAAGGGATTCATACGGCCAAGCACGTCGCCGTTTGCAGCGCCGATACTGTTCACACCGAAGAAGGACAGGGGCCTACGCATGTGCATCGATTATAGGGCGCTGAATCGGGTCACGATAAAATCGCGTTACCCGATCCCGCAAACTGACAATCTGATGGATCAACTTCGTGGAGCTCGTTATTTTTTGAAGATCAACTTGCGAGGCGGCTACCACCAAATTCGCGTGTTCGCCGACGACTGCCCGAAAACGGCTTTTCGCACACGCTACGGCAGTTATGAAGAATGCCGTTCGGACTGACCAACGCGCCCTCGACATTCCAACTGACCATGAACGGGATCTTCCGGGACATGCTGGACAAAAAAGTCATCATGTATCTCAACGACATCATGGTGTATAGCAAAACAAAAGAAGAGCATTTACGGGATTTGGAGGAGGTGTTCCGGCGTCTACAGGAACATAGGCTGATTACGAAGGGGTCTAAGTGCGAGTTGAGGAAAGTAGAACGAGAATGGATTGACTAAGGAATGGAAGTGATACAAATATGCAACCCTAGAAATGTGTAGCCCATATAGGCTACCCCACTATAGCCTACACAATATCATAATTTGACACACCCCCATAGGCAAAGTGGGGGAGAATAAGGGGTTACAAGACCAGTCAAGCAAAGCAGACAAAGCTCAGGGTGGATCACAACGTCACCACACAGTCCGAGCACAAGGTCAAGGCCACAAGGCCAGTTCACATGCAGGAGTACACATATATATCTATATATATATATAAGGCTAAACAAGCAAGAGCAGGTATATATATATATATGGAAGGGTACAAGCAAGGTCAAGTGGTGAGCAAGTGAGGCAAGACAGGTACAAGACCCAACTGAGTGCAAAAGCGCTGATGATCACAAGGCGGAAGTGCCTTGGTGAAAACATCAGCAGTGTTGGCCTCAGAGGCCACGTACGCAAGTCGCAACTGACAACGCTGCTGCAACTCACGAGCAAGAAAGTAGCGGAGAGCAATGTGCTTCGTTCTGTGCTCCAGGCGCTGCTCCCGACACAAGGCCAGCATGGCCTTGTTGTCTGCGTACAGCACTGGAGGAGAACGAGGCGGCTCTCCTAGGTCAGTCAGCACGTAGGTGAGCCAGTGAAGCTCCTGTGCAGCCATGGCCCCGGCGTAGATCTCAGCCTTACAACTGGAGCCGAGAACAGAAGACGAGCAAGTAGCCCGCCACGAAACAGAGCCAGAACCAAGACTGAAGGTGTAACCCTGTGACGACCGCTGCGTAGCCTGGTCGTCAGCCCAAGAAGCGTCCGCGTGCCCAGTGAGGACCACTGGACTCCACCCTCCAAGCACTAGCCCCATGCCCGACGTACTGCACAAGTAGCGCAACACCCTCTTCGCTGCAGCCATGTGCTCTGGTCTGTGTCTCCCAGGAGCAACATAGCGTGCAAGAATGCTAAGAGGGTATGCGAGGTCAGGTCGTGTGCAGGTCATCAGGTACATGAGGCAGCCAACAAGCTCTGGGTACGTGCCACTCGACTCTACGGACTCATCTGAAGGCAGAGCTGAGAGCGAGTGGCGAGTAGACAGAGGAGTGGCCTGAGGCGAGGAGTACGTGAAGCCGAAGCGCTGAAGGACCTGCTGCACCATGTGTGACTGAGTCAGGGTAATGGTGCGGCGTGCTCTGTCCCGGGTGATCTGCAAGCCAAGGTAGCTGCGCAGTTCACCCAGGTCTGTGCACGTGTGTCTCTTCTGCAGCTCGGACTTCACGTGGGCGAGTCCAGCAGTGTCAGCTGTGGCAAAGACCAAGTCGTCAACGTACACGAGGATGTAGAACGGCGGCAGAGAGGTGTCGGTGCGCAGAAACAACGACGGGTCAGCAGTAGAGGGAGCAAACCCAAGAGTCGCAAGCGTAGTCCTCAGTGTGTCGTGCCACTCACGCGGTGCCTGGCGGAGACCGTAGACTGGCCGTCGGAGGCTCCACTGGGTGCCAGGAGGGAGAGTCCCAGTGAAGCCAGGTGGACGGCGCAGCCAGATCTCCTCGTGCAGGCCACCCTGCAGGAAAGCAGTGCTGCAGTCAAGGGAGTGAAGCTCGTAGTCACGCTGAGAGGCTATGTGTAGCAGCACCCGAAGAGTGGTCATCTTTGGGGTGGGAGAAAAGGTCTGAAAGTAGTCAACTCCCTGCCGCTGATTGAAGCCACGAGCCACGTAGCGCGCCTTGAAGACAGTTGGAGAGCCCGGCGGCCGCTTCACCCTGAAGATCCACATGCCACTGACGATGTTCGCCCCAGGAGGAGGAACCGCGTCAACGTAGGTGCCTGTGGACTTCCCGGAAGCCATCTCTGCATCCATAGCTGCCTACCACGGAGAGGAGTAGGGACCCTCTATCGCCTCCGCGTAAGAGCGCGGAGTCTGGATGTCTAGTGCATCCGGGTCTCCCTCAGGGGTAAGCAGTACGGACACAAGATGAGGTGAAGCAGCAGCCAGACATTGGAACTCCTCCTGCGTGTCCTCAAGGACGTTCGTGCCAAGAGCACACTCACCCCCGACGGACGGAGGACAGACAGACGCAGACTCAGCAACAAGACCAGCAGCGTAGTCTAGACGACAGCGAGCAGCAAAGTCGACGAGCTCAGCAACAAGAGCAGACGCAGCACTGGACTCAAAAGAGGGGTCAGTGACGACAGTAGCAAGGAGACGCGTGACGGTAGGACTGGCAGCGCGAAGAGAGTCCAACTCCGGGTCGGCAAGAGCAGGAAGAGAGGACTCAGGAGGAGAAGGCAAAGGGACACGCAGAGGAGCAGTGGACGGACGCAGAGACATCCGGTGCGTGCCAGGGACAGGAGGAGGACGCTGACGCAAACCGCGACCACCAGCGCAAGCAGCACGAACAGGCGACGCGGGACGAGACGCAGGCTCACGGCGCTCAGCAAGACCTCCAGTGGGACCAGTGTAGGGAGAAGGAGCAGGCAGTGGGGAGGCCGGCGGTAGCTGTGACTGTGACTGGACAGGCTGTGGCCACTCTAAGGGAGGAGGAAGACCAAGAACCTGCTGAAGGAGCGGAACAAAGTACGGCCGAGGCCGCGCGGCGAC